GAATTATTAATTAAAATGTAATTTTAAACATATCTTGATCAATTACATATTTAAAATATAGATTACGTCGCTTTAACCCAAGCTGTTCTATCATAAAGTATTGTGGATGTTTTGTAGAGCAAATTAGAACATTTTTGCTATTTCTAAATGTGACTCTTTATGATAGATAAAACAGTTCAGCCAAACGTGATGTAAAGTATAAAACACTGCTGTGATATTATCAGTAATTTTTGTGTTTATGTACAGGCTGGATTGACTGCATTGGCCGTGATGCGATTCAGACAAGGATCTGCACAAGCATTTTCTCAAGGATATGAACCAGATATGGCCGGTCCAGACAGCAGTCCATACACATCGTACCCAACGGGTGGGGATGCATCCCAAGAATCCTATCAGGAGCCACCATTCAGTGGAGGATCTGCAACTGGAGAAAGCGAGTATAAACCGCCGACATACTAAGTTTAGACAAATAGGTATATGGTATATGGAGAATCAGTAATTGTAATTACGATAAAGAGAGAAAAAATGAATAGCAAATGAATGAAAATTACAATTCTGACAACAACAAAATCTGACTACCATCACAAGAATATAAACCTTTGCAGATTGTCAGTGTGAAAGTGAATGTTTCTGGGTACTGTTTTAGTATTTTGCTTATGCAATGTTAAGGCATCTTTCTTTGTCTTTGAGTGACATACCATTGTAATGTAATTAAGATTATAGCATTGCTGCTCTAAGCTCATTGGTTTCCTGTCAATGATGCACTTGTCACTCTTCTAATTACTGTTAGAAGTCCCTGCAGGGGATGAGGTCTTATGTTTACACAGTAAACAGGAATGTTTTTTTTTCTTTTATAATATATAGTATATTTTGTTTGCTTTGACCTCGCAAATTTTGGCAATAAATTCCTATTTTTCATTTTTGTTAGATTGACAAGTGCGGTAGATTTCCCCTACATACCGTACTTCCCCAGTATAAACCCAGGGGCCTGAACATGTAAAATCGGGAAAATTAGGGGGTGGGCTTATACTCGAGAACCACCTCAGAAAAAAAATTTTTTTGGTGCGTTTAAAACTGTAACCATCTTCCCAGCCTCGAAACATTATCCAAATTACATTTTTCGTTCACAGCGCCGGTCTCGGAGGAATATTACGTCTTTTTGAGAAAACAGAAATGTGAAACGAGCCATCATTGATTTCAACGGCGCTTTTTACAATGAAGAAATGAATATGAACAAAAAACAAAAATTTTATTACGATACGGTCCACATACCATCTGAATTTACGGTGCAAAAATGGGTAGGGTCTGTGGGAAAACAGTCGAAGGCAAGATCGTACGCAAACTCTCGATACAAAGCTATTTCCACCATGGTTTCATGACCTGAACAACTTCCTTTGACCTAACAAATCACGTCTTTCGTTAACCAATGAAAATGCTCTGTAATACAGTCGAAGTTTTCTGATCATTTACGAAGTATTTTTATCAACGCAATGCAGAAGTGTATTACCGCGATGTTCAAATGTGATCTGTTAACACTGATA